TGAGTCGCCCGTAAGGGCTGAGAATGGCGGTTAATAAGTGCATCAAATAAATAAATAAAATAAATAAATAAAACAAAGGAGGGAGCGAAGGTGGGAGATACCTCCAGCTGGAGGGTCTCTCTCTCTCTCTCTTGGTCCCAATGGCTGAAGAGAAAGTCAGGAGAAGAGGCGACTTTTGGTGCGCATGCTGTGGTCTTCAGACATGCCTCCGGACCCAAAAAAGGGCCAGACACGGCGGCTCCGCCCCTTGGCCCACCCGCGGATTGGGGAGAGGAGAGGAGGCGGGTGGAGTGCCGGGGCATCGGGAAAGGGAGCCGGTCATGGGGAAGGGATCGAACGTGGAGAATGATTGAGCGCCGGCTCTGCTCGCGCACCCGGTGGCCGGGTGGAGCAGGAATGAGAGGGTCTAGGCGAGGCTCAAGGGCCCGGCCCCTTTGGGAAGACGATCGCCCAGCAACGAGGCAAGAAAGCCAAAGCTCCCCCCAGACTGCTAGGGCTGTTGTGAGCTGAGGGGGCGCTCCTCAAGTGGTGGTTGAGGGGCATTTACAGAGGCGCCTCTGCGCCCCTGGCAAAAAAAAGTGTTCTGCGACCGCTTACTTTGCGTAATGGACGAGCCGCCCCTGGGGCAAAGGCAGGTCTTGCTACTACTAGTGCTACTACTATTATAGTTATTTTCCCCTGTATCTATGAATTTTAAATCAATATCTTACATATTTTATTTATTTTAATATGTGTGTTTTAATTTTATGTTTATGTATTTTTAATCTCTCTGTGTTAAATATTTTTATGTTTTTAATCTATTATTTAGGCAAAAAGTCTAGTAAGGAACAATTTTTATTATTACCCTATTTCTTTTATTCTAAGATACACCCCCCCCCCCCCCCGACAAAAATCTCTAAAAATGATGTGCATCTTAAGGCCCTTCCACACAGCTATATAACCCAGAAAATCAAAGCACAAAATCCCATAATATCTGCTTTGAACTGGGATATCCAAGTCCACACTGCCATATATCTCGGTTCAAAGCAGATAATGTGGGATTTTATTCAGCTGGATGAAAACGGCCTTAGAATCACAAACATTTTCTTATATATAAATGAAGCTTTTTCTGTTTGTAGTACTAAACTCAGTGTGTGCCTTTCGATAATGGTATCTTAAAATAGAAGAAGTATGGTGTCATTATTATTATTATCATCATCATCATCATCATCTGATCTCTTAATTAAACTAATTGCATTTCTTTAAAGGTTGCCCTTTGTCTCAAAAAGAATTTAAATAGCCAGAACTTGCAGCCAATACAATTTAAATGGCTTCCTGCAATATTGAAGTAAAAGAAATCTTAAATTCATAACAATTACTTGAATATTTCTGAACATGTCCTTTGCACATTTAGAAATATTTAAGTAAGAAAGTGAACCTTTCTTTCTGCATGATTATAAAATATCTGCAATTAAATACACAAATATGGCACTGTCATGATTTGCTTAGCCTTTGGAAGGAATGGATTCCAGGAATCAGTCAGCAGCATCTTTAATTTCCACAGCTGGAACATTATGCAGAAAGTATAATACCATATGCATTCAAATGTAAGGTGCCACTGATTGTAAGATGCACCCTAATTTCAGTACCAACAACAACAAAAATACATAAGATACACCTACAATTTTAAGACGAACCACATTTTAGAGCTATTTATATAGGCAAAAAGTGTGCCTCAGAATGGAAGAAATAAAGTAGTTGCAAGTCCTGCTCCATTATTTTTTCATATAAAAATTAAATCTGTTAATAACTGGATGAAAGCTTTTTTAAAGAAGGCATCTTTACAAAATTACACAACTGAGAGATTGGAATGCAGGCTACAAGTAATACAGTTATATGCAAAATGCTTCTGTGGATAACAATAGTATAACAGAACCACATTCCAGAATTAAAATGTAAAAATAAAGATATTCCATAATGACAGTTATGCTATATTTTATCACCATATAATGATAGTATTTTAAAAGTTCCTTTTAAAAATGTAGGGATATTAAGGGATTTTAATGAGCATTTCCTGTTTTATGCTACATTCTTCTTAACCACAAGAGGTTTTTTTAAGTAAAAAAATTAAAAGTAATGAATAATACAGGAGGTTACTTTCAACACATTATTTGTGTGTGTGAGTGTAAGAGGAGTGACTTGAGAAACTGCAAGTCACTTCTGGTGTGAGAGAATTGCCCATCTGCAAGGACATTGCCCAGGGGACGCCTGGATGTTTGATGTCTTACCATCCTTGTGGGAGGCTTCTCTCATGTCCCCACATGAGGAGCTTTAGCTGACAGAAGGAGCTCAACCCATTCTCCCCAGATTCAAACCGCTGACCAACCTGCCAGCACAAGGGTTTAATGCATTACACCACCAGGGGCTACTAAACACTGTAATGAGTATGGATACCAAATTATCGTTAATGGAATGTTGCAAGCAAGTTGCTCTTATGAAGTATCATTGTTAAGTACTGAGATTTTGAAACCATTCCACTAGTGTATTCAGTACTGTCCCCAAGACTTTTTTTTAATGAAATCTATTTTATTCTGTACTTCTGTTAATGTGTTATATGCAGTCTAAAGAAGATTTGTCCACTGATCCAAACACCAAAAAGAACAATCTACATCATCTTAAGACCCAAGACTCATACGAAAGAAAGCACAAGTAGTTCCCAAGTTATTAACAAGATCGGTTCTGTAAGTTTGTTCTTAAATTGAATTTGTACTGCTTGCACTTTCATTTGCTAAAATCCTTACTTAATTATACAAAGTCTTTGCTACAATGAGCTAATTAGTTCTTGGGATGCCTCTTTGCTAGTTAGACATAAAGTGTATTCTTAGGCCCCATTCACACTGCTATATAAAATTATCTGCTTTGATAATCTGTATTATATGATAGTGTAGACTCCCATAATCCAGTTCAAAGCAAATAATTTGGATTATCTTCATTCATAATATGGATTATATGGCAGTGTAGATCCAGTCTTAAGTAGATTCAGTCTTAAGCCCCTTCTACCATGCCATATAAAGCCAGATTATCAATCCACATTATCTGCTTTGAACTGTATATGAATCTACACTGCCATATAATTCAATTCAAGGCAAATAATCTGGATTTTATAGGACAGTTTCGAATAAATCAGCCTGGGCAGGTTAAGCTCAGGTTATGTGATGGTTTTACCATAGCTCTTCGTTTTGCCATTAATGATGCCTTTCCCTTCCCTTTGCCGAGAAGAAGGAAAGGGATTGTGAGGTTATTGCCTCTGGTGCCAGAATCACTTGGTTGATGGCTATGGGGAGTGAGGGCGCCTCATTCCCCATATATATCAGGCAGTAAATTGTCTCAGGCTCTATATCAGGGGTCCTCAAACTAAGGCCCAGGGGCCAGATACTGCCCTCCAAGGTCATTTACCTGGCCCTCGCTCAGGGTCAACCTAAGTCTGAAATGACTTGAAAGCACACAACAACAACAATCCTATCTTATCAGCCAAAAGCAGGCCCACACTTTCCATTGAAATACTAATAAGTTTATATTTGATAAAATTGTTCTTCATTTTAATTATTGTATTATTTTAACTGTTTTTTTGCAGTACAAATGAGATATGTGCAGTGTGCATAGGAATTCATTCATGTTGTTTTTTTTCAAATTATAATCCGGCCCTTCAACAGTTTGAGGGACTGTGACCCGGCCCTCTGTTTAAAAAGTTTGAGGACCCCTGCTCTATATGACCTCTTCCAATCGACAGTACCTCTGCCAAATCCCATAGGGTCCTTTCCAACAGGGTGCATCTGCACTGCAGAATTAATGCAGTTTGACTCCACTTTAACTGCCTTGGCTGAATGCTATGTAATCATGGTAAATGTAATTTTACAAATTTTTGAGTCTTTTCTGCCAAAGAGTGCAGGTGCCTCCCCAAACTACAATTCCCATGACAGTTGCAGTGGTGGAAAAAAAAACAAATATAACTCACGCAATAGACTGCCCAAAAACATTTGGTTGTCTGCAACAGAGAAGCTAAAGACAGGACTGTCTGTGTGCCTGATATCCCAACCAGCTAATGACCTCTCCCAGTCCCTGGCAGTAAAAATACTATAATTACAAAATATACAACAAATGATTTACTGTCTTTTCATTTCATCATATCACCTGACAGAGTTGCTTCACTTTACCTAAACTTTCTTCCCACCATCTGATTATGAGTGAACTGTATATGAGTCTGTCTACACTGTAGAATGAATGCAGTTTGACATCCATCACTTTAGCTGCCATGGTTCAATGATATGGATTCACGGAGTTGTAGTTTGATGAAGTATTTAGCCTTCTTTGCCAAGGAGTGCTATTCCCAAACTACAACTCCAAGGATGCATTAGCACTGAACCATGGCAGTTAAACTGGTGTCAATCTGCATTCATCCTACACTACACCTGAACATACAGAGGTGTATATAAGGTGTTTTGTTGAAGGCTTTCATGACCAGAATCACTGGGTTGCTGTGAGTTTTCTGGGCTGTATGGCCATGTTTCAAAAGCGTTCTCTCCTGATGTTTCACCCATATCTATGGCAGGCATCCTCAGAGGTTGTGAAGTCTGGATGCCTGCCGTAGATGTGGGCAAAACATCAGGAGAGAATGCTTCCAGAGCATGGCCATAAAACCCGGAAAACTCACAGCAACCCAATATCAGGTGTTGTTTAGACATCAGAATCTGAGTTATTTAGCAACATCACAAATCTTCTGAGAGCTGAAGTAGAACTTGAATGTTGGACTGGAATTGAAGGAGATCAGGGTTCAAATCTCTGATCAGCAATGAAAAAACACAGTAGGTGTACCTGGACTCTCTCAGTGTTATACTGGATCTACACTGTCATCTAATCCAGTTTCTGAATCCAGATTATCTGCTTTGAACTGGATTATATCAGTCCATATTGCCATATAATCCAGTTCAAAGCAGATAATCTGGATTCAGAAACTGTCTTATGTGGTAGTATACACGGGGCCTTAGAGAAGGGAAGGGACATACTGTCTGTAAACAAGCCTGACCAAGAAAACTCCTTGATAAACTGTATGTTGTAATCATTTTAAAGGCATGTAAAATTATGAAACCATCTAGTAACCACATTTCTATAATGCCAACATGAGATAATGTTAAGTCTGCTTTTATCTAAGAGTAAAATTTCTGTTCCTGTGACAGAAAAGAGTGGGTACAATGAGAGTGCAATCATATCACTTAGTTACAGTACTTTCTTCTACTTTGACTGCCATGGGGCTTGCAATTTAGGGCCAGAATCTTTTATTGTCTCAACAGAATACAAGCCTTGGGATTTCATAGGACAGTTAAAGTGGAACATATAGAAATATCCGAACATATAGTGCGGATAGATCCAAGGTTTCTCAAAGACTTAAGAGATGGTCAAAACTCCCAACTTACTTTGGTTTGTCAGCAAAACTACAGGAACAACTATGGCTGTAATGATAACGGCAACCACAAGGAACCCGAACAGATATTTCAGTGCTTTCTGGAAAGAAATGAAAGAAGAAACAAATTAGAAGCATGTAAGAAGATTGCAACTGCACTGCCGGATAAAAACAAAGAAATCCAGCAACTTATTTCCCATATTGACTAATCAGGTTCCTCAAATGCAGGAGGTGGAACCAGCATTTCCACTTCTGACTTTGCTTTCCAGTAAATGAAACTCATGGACAGTATTCTGGAGAGACAGGGAACTGAATCATCCAGAATGGTATGAAATCTAGGCAATGAATTTTCTGTGGAATTATGGGGTGTGTTGTTGAAAGAGTGACTCTTTAGAAGGAAAATGGTTAACTTGTAAAGGCTTGTTAGCATTTGATAATGATTGATACAGTTTGAAGAAGAGAAGGTGGAAGGTTTCCCTATACAACCCTTTGCCTATTTGGATTTGTAAAAGTTAGACCTAAGTTTGAAAACCTATTCAGGGGATGACCATTTGATTGCAAAAGTTTCCACTTTGTTGTTAAAAAATGAAATGAAAGAAGAACAAGTGAAATACTATAAAGGGTTGATGTGAGTTTTCTCTACTGTATAGCCATGTTCCAGAAGCATTTTCTCCTGACATTTAACCCACATCTTTGTGGGTGATGTTGTGAGGTCTGTAGGAAACTAGGCAAGTGGGGTTTATATTTCTGTGAAATATCAAGGGTACGAAAAAGAACTCCTGTCTGCTTGAGGCAAGTGTGAATGTTGCAATTGGGCACCTTGATAAGCATTGAATGACCTTGCAGCTTCAAAGCCTAGCTACTTCCTGCCTGGGCGAATCCCTTATTGGGAGGTGTTAGCTGGACTTGATAGTTTCCTATCTGGATTTCCCCTGTTTTCTGAGTGTTGTTTTTTTTTATTTACTGTCCTGATTTTAGAGTTTTTAATACTCTTATGAAAAACAGCAACCCAGTGATTCCAGCCATGAAACCCTTCGACAACACATTGTATACTATATAGTTAAATAGTTTCAAAATATAAGTACAAAATTTCATCTGGAACAATGGGAGAGGATGTGGAGAAGGAACTTGAAGTTTACTTTGAGTAATAGTTTGAAAATATTTATATCTATAGATATATGAAGATGTATGGGTGGTACTTGATACCAGACAGACTTTCTAAAGGAGCTCTAGTAAATATTGGAAATGCGAGAAAATTGTTGGATGTTTTACCATATGCGTTAATTTGCAAATAGGCCCAGCTATACTGGATTCAAATACATCTGACACTGGAAATAATAGTTACAGTTAAAATCATAATGAAAACAGAATTTTATTTGTTGGGAATTCTGGATGATCAACTAGAAATAAAACATGGAAGATTACCACAGTATATTCTAACTACTGTGATAATCTTTTATGTGCAGATTGAAGGAACCAGTTGTCTCAACACAAGAAGAATGGCTGGCATAGTCTCCTAAAAGCATGTCCCACCTCTCATTTGGAACAGTGTTTCCATTTTTGAAAGTTTCATAATATTCCACCTATCTAATCAGGCTTTATGGAAGATTGATAAAGGGACCTCAGTGCTTTCCTCAGAACCAGGCATGAGAAATATGTGTGTCTCCATATACTGCTACACCGGAAATCCCATGAGTTGCAACCCAAAAAATATCTGGAGCTTCCCAGCTGTTCATTTATCGTATCAGAAGCAAAGCAAGGGTACAGTTGTAATGTATTTAAAAAACACAAAGTTTAAAAAACTTGGCATTATATTAGATTTCCTTTGCTCCACTGCGCATGTGGCAGGGCTCAGTTTGCATTGTAGCAAGTGGTCTATAGTATGCTCTTCCCCACACTCGCTGTCATGGACTCCACGTTGTGGCTCCATTTCTTAGGGTTGGCTCTGCATCTTGTGGTGCCAGAGTGCAGTCTGTTCAGCGCTCTCGAAGTCATCCAGTCTTCTGTGTGCCCAGGAGGGAGCTTCTCACCGAATCTCAGCCACTGATTGAGGTTAATAATAATATAATATACTTTGTTTATAACCTGCCCTCTCTTCGCAAAGGGACTCAGGGCGGTTTCCAAAATATAACAGAAATGGCAAACATTCAATGCCAGAAACAAATAAACAGCAATCAAGGCAAAACAAAAAATAAGCAACCTAAGATACACTAAATAAACATCATATAACACCAATTGAAACACAAGACATTAAAAGCATAATATAATATACCACACGAGTGGGCTGAGGTATATTCTAGGATTTAGCCTGCCACTTTTGGACTCTCGCTTGCTGAGGTGCTCCTGTGAGTATCTCTGTAGATCTTAAGGAAGCAATTTCTTGATTTAAGTCATTGGCATGCTGGCTGATATCCAAACAGAGGATGGGCAGGAGATGTCAATGCTTTGGTCCTTTCATTGCTGGCTGCTACTTCCCAGTGGTGCAATACCAGCTAAATAGTATAATTTCTCCAGTGGTGTAGGGCATAGACATTCTGTATTTATTTATTGTATCAGGAGGGAACCAATGTATTTGAAAAAACACAAAGTTTGCAGATGTGGCATTCTATTAAATGTCCTTTGACCAGTAGCTGGCCACTTGGAGTGCCTCTGGTGTTGCTATAAGAAGGTCCTCCATTGTACATGTAGCAGGGCTTAGGTTGCATTGTAATAGGTGGTCTGTGGTTTGCTCTTCTCCACACGCACATGTCATGGACTCCACTTTGTAATCCCATTTCTTAAGGTTGGCTCTGCATCTCGTGGTGCCAGAGCACAGTCTGTTCAGTGCCTTCCAAGTCGCCCAGTCTTCTGTGTGCCCAGGGGGGAGTCTCTCATTTGGTATCAGCCATGGGTTGAGGTACAGGGTTTCAGCTGCTACTTCCCAGTAGATGTCAGGTGGTGCAATACCGGCTAGACCAGTGGTTCTCAACCTGGGGTCCCCGGATGTTTTGGGCCTTCAACTCCCAGAAACCCTAACAGCTGGTAAACTGGCTGGGATTTCTGGGAGTTGAAAACTACTGGGCTAGACAGTGTCATTTCTCCAGTGGTGTAGGGTGCAGACAGCCAATGATAATGCACCATGTCTCATTAAGAGCCACATCAACTGTTTTAGCATGGTGAGATGTGTTCCACACTGGGCATGCGTAATAATAATAATAATAATAATAATAATAATAATAATAATAATTTATTTATATACCACTCCATCTCCCCAAGGGGACTCAGAACGGTTCTCAGGTAACATCACAAAACATACAAAGCATGTACTTAACAATGGAGTAGCAATTCGCAATGGCAGGTGTCTTCACTGTATCTGGTTGTGATCCCCAGGTTGTGACAGTCAGCTTCTGTATGATATTGTTTCAAGCGCCCACTTTTTGCTTGGTATTCAGGCAGTGCTTCTTGTAGACCAGAGCACGGTCCAGAGTGACTCCCAGGTATTTGGATGTGCTGCAATGCTCCAGTGGGATTCCTTCCCTGGTAATCCTCAGAGCTCGCGATGCTTGTCTGTTCTTAAAATGAAATGCACATGTCTGTGTCTCAGATGGATCAGGAATCAGCTTGTTTTCCCTGTAATAGGCTATAAGAGCACCTAAAGCTTCTGTTCAACCATTTCAAAGCGACCAGAGGCGATTTTTTCCACCTCTCATCACATTGTGATTCTCATCAGCCAATTTAACCAATGCAACTATTTGTGGGATTTGCAATTCAACATACCTGCAATTCAACATACAATTCAAATTGCCTGTCCCTGAACCAACACAAAACCAGAACTCTCATCCAGATTATTCCTTTTCCTGCATTAAAGAGGTTTGGCCTACTGCAGTTTAATTTTTGTCTTCATGTTGAACAAATATACATGCTGCGACGGGAGCAAATGTAGTCTTAGGACAGCTGTGATTTTATCCACATATAATTAATATAATAGGATTTAATACAAAAGTATTTTTCCCAGTGGGTCAGCATGATGGGAGCTTTAGGACTTTCAATCTATTCTTGCAGCCAATCTGCAAGGGTATTTCATCTGTTTGTGAGCTATTATCTGGGAATGGCCTCCACGCTGAGATAGAACTCACAGACCTTTGATCTGTCAGCTCTGTCCTTGATCTGATAATCCCTTATCAAGAGAGTGACAAGGCATTCTCCATCTGAGGTTTAAATTTCTTAGTACATAGTTCTCTGGTACGTCCATGCCTAAATTTTCTGTCTTTGTAGATACTGTCAGGTTTTGATGTTAACATCACCATATTTTTTAAAAAATGATCTTTATTATTATTTCAGTGTACATCAATTAAAATTAAGATTGTCTATATAAAAACATAACTATAAGTGAGTGGGGAACAGTGTCTAAGGATAAGGGTTTATATACATATACATACTCATGTTTATGTGTGTGTGTATAGAGAGAGAAAAGGAGAAAAAGGGGAAAAAAAGAAGAGAACAATTTGGTTTCCGGTCATCTTTGGTGTGGTTTATTTCTTTTTCTTCTTTCTTCTTCTTATACTTCTCTTCCCCTCCTTTCCATGCTACCTTTTATTATATCTGTATGTATATATCTTGTCTTTTCTCTTTCTCTTCTTATCTCTTTCATTTTCTTTTCTTTTTCTCCTCCTCCATATATTTCTGTAGTAGGCTCCAATGCAATTCTTTCTGTGCTCTTCCTTGCTGCTTCAACATTAATTGTGTCAATCTGTCCATATTTTTAATCTCCCAGATTTTAATCAACCATTGGTCTATAGTGGGGATTTCTTTCTGTCTCCATATTTTGGCATATATGATCATCGCTGCTGTTGTCATAAAACTTAGAAGTTTTTTCTGTATTTTCTCCAAATCTTCTTTCTGTCATATCCAGTAGTATGCTTCTGCTTTCATCTGGATTTTTATGTTCAATATTTTCTGCATCTCATAGTGTATTTTAGACCAATATTATTTCGCCTCCTTACATAACCACCACATGTGTTAAAAAGTCCCTTCTTGCTTACCACATTTCCAACATTTTGTGTTTATATTTGTATGGCTCTTTCACCATGATTTAACATTTTGTCATCCATCGGATGTCTTTACCTGTTTTTTTATTATTGTGAAACCTATATTTTATTTATTGTTTCTGTATTTGTAAACCACTGGGTGGGACACGGAACCCTTGGTATCGTCTGAGGTTTATTCCCAATACCCCTTGTGGATACCAAAATCTGTGGATGCTCAAGTCCCATTATATACAATGGCACAGGGGATTTTTTTCATGTCAGAAGTAACTTGAGAAACTGCAAGTCGCTTCTGGTGTTAGAGAATTGGCCATCTGCAGGGACATTGCCCAGGGGGTGCCCGGATGTTTTACCATCCTGTTGGAAGCCTCTCTCACATCATAGTGAAATGGTGCCCCTTATATAAAATGGCAAAAAACAAGAAAAGACTTTTGGATAAAAAAAATATTTTAGAGCAGCAGTTAGTTGAATTCATGGATGCAGAATCTGCAGATACAGAGGGCTGGTTATATAATTATATTTTAAATACATAAAAATGATTCCCCCCATGCAGCAATCAGCCAGGCTTTGAAACAACAAGGCTATTAAATGTTAATCAAGATGGCCAATTGCAACATTCACACTGGCCTCAAGCGGACAACAGTTCTTTCTCCCACCCTGGACATTATTCCACAAATATATAAACCTTACTTGCCTAGTTTCCAACAGACCTCACAACCTCTGAGGATGCCTGCCATAGATGTAGTCAGAATGTCAGGAGAGAATGCTCCTGGGACATGGATATACAGCTTGGAAAACTCACAGCAATCTAATACATGAAAATGTTTGCCTAGATTTGTGGTTTTTCAGTGGCCTTAGGTGTATTTTACGCACTGAAAGATCTCACTGCATATCAGACTATAATGTGAATGAAACTTACATGGAGCACACTCACGTCCTTGTAATGCATTTACAATATGTTCCATACTTTTAAAAAACAGGACACAAGAAGGAAGTAATAGATAGTTTTTAAAGGCTCATATAACAATAATCCAAATGCAGATGTGCCGAGTTTTAACACCAGCGCTTGTCAATAAGGCCTCTGCAATTTGTAGCCATGGCTTTAATTTTGTTTCCAAGCCTAGCCTGGGATTCAAGCCTAACAGCTCATGTGCTTAATTCCAGATGTGGAGACAAAGGCATCTTTCTATCTTGAGTGGTCAGGAGATGAACTCTGTGCACTCCCACAGAGGGACTTTGCGTGATTCCATCAATACTCAAACCACTACATCATGCTGGCTCCAATATTGATTTTGGATACATTTGCACAATAGAAAAAGTGTGGTTTGGTATCACTTCAACTGCTATGGTTCAATGCTATGGAATCTTGGGCTTTACTATTTGGTGAGACATCAGCGCTATTTGACAGAGAAGGCTAAGAACTGTAAAACTCTCAGATTCCATACCTTGAGCCATGGCAATTAAAGGTCAGTCGAACTGCAATACTTATACAATGTAGCTGTGTTCTTATGATCAGTCACATTATAACCCCAGATTCCCTCTGAACGAGCTCAAGGCAGTGGGCCTGGGTCTCCTCCTCTCTTCCTCCTCCTAAGAGCAACCTTGTGGGGCAGCTCAGGCTGAGAGAGAGTGGCTGGCCCAGGCCCAGACTGAAACAGACTCTCCCAAATGTCACCACCCTCAATGCCAGCCTGACTGGAAGTCTGAACAATGGCATAAAGGAAGCTTATCAGCTGGGCAAACTACCTTCAGAAAGAAAGGGTGATTCCACACTGTCCAAATAATGTATTTTTGACACCACTTCAAGTGCCATGGCTCAATGCGAGGGAGTCATGGGAGTTGAAAAATGGAGAGAATACCAAGAATGCATCCACATTGATGAATGTAAACGGACACCACTTTAATCACCAGGGCTCAAGGTATGGAAACCTGGAATCCTAATTTACAGTCTTTAGTCTGATCTGTTACCTCAAAGGGCAAGTCTCATGACTGCATGGCACTGAGCCAGGGCAGTTAAAGTGGTGTCAAACTGCATTAATTCTACAGTGTAAATGCATGGTTGGATGGATGGATGGAAGGAAAGAAGGAAGGAAGGAAGGAAGGAAGGAAGGAAGGAAGGAAGGAGGAAAAGAAAAAGGGAGGAAAGAAGAGGGAAGAATAGGGAGGAAGGGGGAAAGAGGGGTGGAGGAGGAAAGGAGAGAGGGAGAGAAGGAAGAAAGGAAGAGGGGAGAAGAGAAGAGCAGGAAGAAGGGAAAGAGGATGAAAGAAAAGAGGGAGAAAAGAAGGAGAGGGAGAGGGAAAAGGGAAGGAAGGAAGAGGGAAGAAGAGAAGGGAAGAAGGGAAAGAGGATGAAAGAAAAGAGGGAGAAAAGGAGGAGAGGGCGAGGGAAAAGGGAAGGAAGAGGGAAGAAGGGAAAGAGGAAACAAAAGAAGGGAGAAGAAGGAAAGGGAGAGAAAAAAGGGAAGGAAGAGGGAAGAAGAGAATGGGAGGAAGAAGAAAAAGAGGAGTAAAGAAAAGAGGAAGAAGGAGGGAAGGAGGAAAGGGAGAGAAAAAGGGGAAGGAAGAGGGAAGAAGAGAAGGGGAGGAAGAAGGGAAGGAGGAAAGAAAAGAGAGCAGGAGGAGGGAAGGAGGAAAAGGAAGGAAAAAAGGGAAGAGGGAAGAAGAGTAGGGAAGGAAGAAGGGAAAGGGGAGGAAGGAAGGAAGAAAAGGAAGGAAGGAAGGAAGGAAGAAGGAGAGGGAAGGAGGAGGAAGAGAAGGGGAGGGAAGAAGGAAAGGAGAGGGGAAAGGAAAGAAAGGAAGTTGGAGGGAGGGAGGGAGATGAGGAAGGGAAAGGAAAGAGGGAGGAAAGGAGGAATAAGACAAGGGAGGGAGGGAGAGGTGGTAGAAGGCGCCTGCCTGGCTGCCTGCGAAGAAGAGAAGGCGCTTCTGCCGCGGCCGAGAGGTGCTCCCCAAGGCGCGCTCTCTCCCTCTCCCAGCTGCGTGCCTCCCTGTCCCCCGAGCAGCGCCCCTCTGCCCTCCGCCCCGGCCCCAGGCAAGGCAAGGCAAGGCGAGAGGGGCAGCCCGGGAGGGACTGACCTTCATCCTGGGGCTGGCCTCCTGTGCCCCGAAGTCCCCCTCCGGCAGCCGCACGAGTAGCGCGATGAGTTTAAACACTAGCAGGGCAAGCGGGGCGAACTCCAGGAAAGCAGGAGGAGGAGGAGGAGGAGGAGGCGGGAAGGAGAGGCAAGAAGGAGGAGAGGGGCGGGCGGAGGGGGAGACTCCGGGAGTGGGGAGGGAGGCAGGCAGCAGCCCCGGGGTCAGGGAGCCAAGCCTTGGGCCCGTCGGGGCTGAAAAGGCAAGCGGGAGAGAAAGGGAGGCCAAAGGCGTGGGCCACGGGAGACAGACAAAAAGCGAGAGCCGTGGGCGGGCGGGCGCCGCTCCGCCGGGGCAAGTGGAGGGAGGCGGCCAGGAAGCCAGGAGTTGGCAAGAACTACGCCTGGTGAGGTTCAAGCTACCGGGTGCCAAAGAAGTCCTCGCTCTGCTTGCACAGTGTGCTCAGGTGGTTCTGTTCCAGGGGCCCCAGCGATACCACGGGGCCGCTCACCCAGCAGTAATGACTCAAAGCCCGGCAGCCTGACTTTTGAGAACTGCCCCCAAAAGAGGGGAAAGGAATTACCTCGAGCCCTCAGGCGCTTCCCTTCCATTAGAAGGAGGCGGCCGGGAAGCCAGGAGTTGGCCTTTCGTGGCTTGAAAGTGAACCCACCGCCTCTCTTCTTCCTTCCTTCCTTCCTTCCTTCCTTCCTTCCTTCCTTCCTTCCTTCCTTCCTTCCTTCCTTCCTCTTCCTTCCTTCCTTCCTTCCCTTCTACCATCTTTTTTCCCTTCTTTCCTTTCCTTTCCTTCCACCTTCCATCTCTTTTTCTTTCCTCTTTTCCTTCCATCGTATCATCTTTCTTTCTTTTTCCTTCCTTCCCTTCCCTTCCATCCTTCTTTTTTCTCTTTCTCCTTCCTCCCTTCCCTTCCTCCTTCCTCTTTCTTTCTTTTCCTTCCCTTCTTTTCCCTTCCATCCTTCTTCTTTCTTTTTTCCTTCCTTCTTTCCATTCCTTCCCTTCCATCCTACCATCTTTCTTTTCTTCCTTTTCCTTCTTTTCCTTTCCTCCTACCTCCTCCTTCCTTCCTTTCTTTCTGTCTTTCTTTCTTTTTTCTTTCTTTCTTTCTTTCTTTCTTTCTTTCTTTCTTTCTTTCGTTCTTAGAATCACAGAGTTGCAGGAGACCTTGTGGGCCATCCAGCCCAACCCTATTCTGCCAGAAGCAAGAAAATTGCATTCAAAGCACCTCCGAGGGATGGCCATCCAGCCTCTGCTTAAAAGCCTCCAAAGAAGGAGCATCCACCACACTCCAGGGCAGAGAGTTCCACTGCTGAACAGCTCTCACCATTAGGAAGTTCTTCCTCATGTTGGAATCTCCTTTCTTGCAGTTAGAAGCCATTGTTGCATTATGTTCTAGTTTCCAGGGCAGCAGAAAACAAGCCTGCTCCCTCCTCCCTATGGCGTCCCCTCACATATTTATATATGGCCTTCATGTCTCCTCTCGGCCTTCTGCAGGCTACATGTTCAGCTCTCTCTCTCGGGTGGCAAAAAGGAAGTATTCCAAGTTGATGATGCCCGGAGGACTGGGAAGAGCTGCCTGCAGCGGCTTCTTCATGTGCTTCTAAGCCTGCTCCTACCTCTAGCCACCCTCTCACGGGGTTCTCTAGCAAAGGGTCTATCTTCCCAGGAGTTTACCATGGACTTCTTCTGAGGCCCCATCTTCCACGTTGACCCTTGAATGGCCAATCAAACTGGTTGTGAAACAAAGTGTTGCAGTGCCGGTGATTCCATAGGAAGCCCTGGAAGCAGGTTGGAGGCCCAAATGCTGGCCAGTAGCATTGCTAGGGTTGGTGTCACTCAGTGCGGTAACACACTGTATCACCCCATGGACTTTTTTCCTTATCAGACCACAATATCACAGCTAAAATACCATGGACAAAATCGGTTACTGTGAAAACCCAGCAGCGGTGTATAGAATAGTGCAAGCTTGTAAGCACCTGCAGACATGATTCAAAACATTGTACTGAGATTGGGTCATTACAGTGCAACCCAAGTGGCCAGTGGTGTTGGTAATGTTGGTGTCACCAGTCCAGTAGGAGTCACGGTGGTACAATGGGTTAAACTCTTATGCCGGCTGAACTGCTGACTTGATATGAGAGAAGCCCCCCACAGGATGGTAAAACATCCAGGCGTCCCCTGGGCAACTTCCTTGCAGACGACCACACCAGAAGCAACTTGCAGTTTCTCAAGTCTCTTCTGGCACAAAAAACCCCAGTCTGGTGACACATTGTATCATCTTTATGGACCTCTTTCCTTACCAGACCACAATATCATAGCGAAAACACCAGAAAATTTGATAAAATCAGCAACTGCCAAAAATCCAGTAGCAAGAAAAATAATAGTTCAGGCTTCTAAGGCCTTGCAGACAAAACAATATGATCCAAACTTTCATTATATTTGGGTAATAATGCCAACTCTGACCAGGGTGTATGTGCCCGATGAGCAAATTAGCATAGTTTCAGCTTTTTTAGGTATAGTGTTACAGTGCATGCGAACTGGGTTTTTCTGGCTACAGGGATATGTATAAAAATAAATATATTTAAGTGGACATTGCACAAAGTCATTTTGGTGTCACTCCCTCACCTCCAATGATGCTACTGGCACTGGCTACCTGTTGTTTTACATGTTCATGTAAAACAACAAGAGCAACAACAACAATTCAACAGCAAGAACAGAAGCAATATCATGATTCTTCAAAAACCAAATTCCTGCTCTTTTAGTGGCGTTTGTTTCTTTATACCTGCAAGCAAGAACACTATAGGATGCTGTGAGTTTTCCAGGCTGTATGGTCATATTCCAGAAGCATTCTCTCCTGATGTTTCATCCACATGTATGGTAGGCATCCTCAGAGGATGTGAGGTCTGTTGGAAACTAGGCAAGTGGGGTTTATATATCAAAGTGAATGTTGTAATTGGCCACCTTCATTAGCACTGAATGGCCTTGCAGCTTCAAAGCCTGGCTGCTTCAGTACAGTAAATAAAGCGCAACATTAAAAAACAGGAATTCCAGACAGGAAACAATCAGGGCCAGCTAACACCTCACAACAAAGGAACCCCCAGGCAGGAAGCATCCAGGTTTTGAAGCTGCAAGACCATTAAATGCTAATCAAGGTGGCCAATTGCAACATTCACACTTGCCTCAGGCAGACAAGCATTCTTTCTCCCACCCTGGACATTCCACAGTTATATAAACCTCGCTTGCCTAATTTCCAACAGACTTCACAACCTCTGAGGATGCCTGCCATAGATGTGAGTGAAAGCTCAGGAGAGAATGCTGCTGGAACATGGTCATACAGCCCAGAAAACTCACAGCAACCCAGTGATTCTGGCCATGAAAGCCTTCGACAACACAAGAGCACCATATCTGATGAAATGTAGTACTCCTTTAACAAAAGGAGTACTATATTTTACTTTTGTTCCCCATTCCAAGTCTTTGGAAAAGTATTGGAATAAATCTTAGTATGCACATAGAAGCTCTGCTCATTCAACCTAAAGGCCTTGTGAGAGGGGCAGTTGCAGTTGTCAGAGGGGTGAAAAGGAGAGGCTTTGCGTATGCTGAGAAGTATTTTCCTGAAGCAGCATTTTAGCACATTGGAAACCAGTCATCCTTGGAGAACAGAAGGAAGATATAAACATACGCACATACACAAAAACCACCTGTAGCATTTCTGTATGCACTCACATCAGGCAGCACCTAAATTGGGCTGACCAACTGCAGTGGGAGAAAATTTTATGCCCTGGTATTTCCAAAATAACAACTAAGAGGGATTGTCAAATTTTCCAAAAATAACAAATAAGAGGGAAGAGGAATATAGAACAGCCAAAGTCTACTGGTTTTGAAAATCAATAGGATTTTTTAAAAACAAAATGGTTAGGCAATGCAAGGGGGTGTAATATATTTTAAAAGTGGATTGCGTCTCCTAGAGGGTTCCAAAAGTGAAGTTTCACACCTTTTTCTGGCCAGAGAAAGGGTGGCTTGGAGAAGATTTGTGCCACCTCCCCCCATAAAAACAACTTCATAACCCCACCCACCACTGAACTAGATGCTCCTAGGTATCTTCATAAACAGAATGTCTGTGGGAGGATGTGGTCGCAATGTAAATCACACACAACTTTTCAGAAAGGAAGTGCAGGGAGTTTCGTGGGTAGCTTACTTAGAGAAGAGCCCCACTGATTTCCATAAAGCTTATTCTAAAGTGTCAATGTACAGGATTGATGCCTCAAGACACTGTGGTCATGGAATAATGAACAAAGAGTTAGAACTGGGTTTTTTTAATGTACCCCATTGCCTTTGGTGAATATAATTTAGTGTTGCTCCATTTATAATGATCCACAGAGTTGTTGCTATTACAAACAAAAAAAAGTGTATTTAAGATGAAAGAACATAAAAAGATCAGACCCTCATTGGATTGACTCAGAAATCAGCTAAGCCATGTCTTCTAAGTTTTGGAAATAAACCAAGCAAAATTTGGCTAGCTATCTCTCCCTGCCAAGCCCTCTTCCATCGTAATCATCTCCCTCCTTTCTTAATTTACAAAAAAACTTTCCTTTAAACTCCATAATAAGACTGTTATGCTGGTGCCAGTGCTTCAGTAGTAGCAAGGTAATGGGAGAGGAAAGGGTGACAGGTCCCACCACCAGTGAACCTCACCATCGCTGGTGGCCTACAATGGGATTGTAGCAGGTCCTGTAGACAGCCAGCAAGCTGGCCTTCTCCATTGCCACTCTCATCTTTCAGAACTCTCTTCTTCCGGCCAATTTCTTTTCCTCCTTAAGACGCACCTCTCCCCAAGGCCTTCCCTGGCTGCATTGGATGCATAGTTTACAAACTATTTATATTTTTTGAGTTCATGATTGTAAACGTTTCAGCTGAGATCTGCATCTCACAGTGTATTTAAATGTATGTTTTTCTTCAGTTTCGCAATAAACAGTTTTGAGTACAGTACAATCCACAAGATAAACTCTCCCAGGCACACACACACCATAGATAACTTCAGATAATAGTGAACTCTATTATTTTGACTATACTTGGGCTGGAAGGATACCATTAAAAGTGATCTTTGCCTTCCGGACTTACTGAACTAGAGATACCTGCTACAAATTGTAAACCTGTGACACCGACGATGTCACCTTTCTTTTCCTGCATGGTGAAGAAGCCCGTAAAGCAGCATTTCTCAACCTAGGGGGTCAGGACCCCTGGGAGGGTGGTGAAGAGGATGTCAGAGGGGTTGTCAAAGACCATCAGAAAACACAGTATTTTCTGTTGGTCATGGGGGTTCTGTGTGGGAAGTTTGGCCCAATTCTATAACTGGTGGGTTTCTATAGGTGAACTATAAATCCCAGCAACTACAACTCCCAAATGTCATGGTCTATTTTCCCCAAATTCCACCAGTGTTCATATTTGGGCATATTGAGTATTTGTGCCAAATTTGGTCCAGTTCCAACATTTTGAGTCCAGAGTGCTCTCTGGATGTAGGTGAACTACAACTCCAAAAATCAAGGTTAATGCCCACCAAACCCTTCCAGCATTTTCTGTTGGTTATGGGAGTTCTGTAGGCTAAGTTTGGTTCAATTTCATCTTTGGTGTAGTTCAGAATGCTCTTTGATTGTAGGTCAACTATAAACCCCAGCAACTACAACTACCAAATGACAAAATCAATCCCCTCCCCCAACCCCACCACTATTCAAATTTTGCCATATCAGGCATTTGTACCAAATTTGGTCCAATGAATGAAAATACATCCTGCATTACATCCTGCATATCAGATATTTACATTATAATTCATAACAGTAGTAAAATTACAGTTATGAAGTAGCAATGAAAATCATTTTATGGTTGTGGGTCACCTGTATTAAGGGGTTGCAGCATTAGGAAGATTGAGAAACACTGCACCAGAACTTCGAAACCATGCATGATATGTTCTGTGCATTTGGTTGGCTAATTAAAGTATCACTGTTTTATGGGTTTTGTTTTATTTTGCTGCATATTCAACAAACTACCCTGAATATGTTTGACCAAAAAAAAAATCAGTCGTAGTGATGGCCATGAGTTGGAATAATAATAATAATAATAATAATAATAATAATAATAATAACAACAACAACAACAACAACCCTTTATTTGTATACCACCCTATCTCCCTGAAAAGACTCGGGACAGTTTCCAACATGTAAGGCAGACATTCTATTGCCAGAAAGAAATCATACAATCACACCAAGATAAACATATTTGACAGTATAACACAATCTAATGAAACTTAACAGACAAAATAAACAACTAAAAACATAATAAAATACCAGAAAACCCTCACTAAAACACACTAAAAATAAAAAGATTAAAAACCCATTTCATTGTAGCTCCATCAGTAGAGGTTCAACAAAACCAATGGCCAGGGTTACAAATGGACGTGGCCAACTATAAAAGGGCTGGGCAAGGGATAGTGCCCCCCCTCCCCCGTCTGTGGAACTTGCTTCCCACTGAGGTAAGATCGGCTCCGTCCCTCCTGTCATTTAGGAAGAAATTGAAGTCGTGGTTCTGGGACCAAGCTTTTGGACAACAGACATAGATAGCAGTTTGGACATGGAATTGGATATGGAATTGACTGGAATAATGTTACAGCTATTAATACTGTTTTTTTTACTGTTTTAATTAATGTTTTACTTGTTGTTTTAATTGTTATTATATTGCTGTGTTACATGTAGTGGCATCGAATTGCTGCCAAATGTAAGCCATCCTAAGTCCCCCTTCAGGGGTTGAGAAGGAATGGGATAGAAATACCGGAAATAAATAAATAAATAAATAAATAAGGCAAACAGCAAATCATAAGACTGGGGAAGTGGATGATATGCAGAACAGAGTGCTATCTCGCTGCTTGGGAACTGGGCCTGAGGACTAATCATTCTCGAAAACTTGCTGGAACATCCAGGTTTTCAAATCCCTGCAAAAGGAAGATATTGCAGGGGCCTGACTAATCTCCTTGGGAAGAGAGCTCCAAAGTTGTGGGGCTACCACCAAGAAGGCCCTCTTCCTCATCCCCACTAGCCGTGCTTGTGATGGTGGTGGAAGCGAGAAGAGGGCCTTCCCAGCAGATCTTAGAGCCCAAACCTGTTCATAGGGGAAGGTGTGATTCCAAAGATAGGCAGGGCCCAAACCATTTATGGCTTGGGCCTTGAATCTGCACCTTGAATTGAGACCGGAAATAGGGGCACCATACGTTCCCTATAATTAGCTCCAGTTAAAAGTCTGGCTGCAGACCTTTGTACTAATTGCCATTTCCGGGCCATCTTCAAAGGCAGCCCCATGTAGAGTGCATTGCAATAATCCAATCTGGATGTGACGAAGGCGTGGACCACCATGGCCAAGTCTGGCTTCTCAAGGTATGATCGCAGCTGGCGCACAAGCTTTAACTGTGCAAAGGCCCTCCCAGCCAGCACAGACACCTGAGCATCAAGCTGAATATCTCTAAAAGCAACTTTATGGAAGATAAGGCTATCCTTGGCTATAGTCATGATGGCTCTATGCTAATCTGCCCGTGTCACAGCCAGAACATCTCAATTGCTGGAGAACATGAGTGGGAGGGTGTTATTGCACTCCTGTTCTGCTTGTGGGCCTCCCAGAGGCATCAAATTGGCCCGTGTGGGAATACAACACTGGACCAGAGCCAGCAGGGTTCTTCTTAAATTAGCTGGGTCTTCATTTGTGATTCAAACAGATAGGGCTTTTGTTCTAACACCACGTACGTCAAGCATTTCTATTATGAGGAACTTTCCTACATTAAACTTCAGTCCTTTCAAACAAACGGAAACCAAAACTGTGGCCGTTCTTCTTTTTCTTAGAAGTGAAAGTTTGGATTTCCCCTTTTGCTTGCATTTTATTTGAGTACATGTCAGAAGTCAGAATACATAACCAGAGAAGGAATTTGTAATCCATGAGATGTATGATCTGAATAAAGCACAGCGCTTGAAAAATCTCATGAAATATGACTGATCTTAGGGGAATGTGTTTGTCAATCAGTAATGCAAAAAGAAATGCAAAACGTTAACCAAAATTTATAGAATAGCTATAGAGCAATGCAATGTGTTTATCATCACATTAATTGATCCATGCATCCACTAACAGCTGAATTCTACACTGCAGAATTATAGTAGTTTGATACCACATTCAATACTATGGAAATCTGGGACTTATAATTTTGTGAAATGTTTACCTTTCTTTGGCATACAGCTCTAGTGTCACAACAGACAGCGAATTCCAGGATTACATAGGATGGAGCTATAGCAATTAATGTAGTACCAAACTACTAGAATTCTGCAGGGTAGATAGGAGAAGAGTGATCCTAACCAGTATAACATACTTTGCAATCTTCATTTGTGTGATAACGCACCGTGTGTGCAGAGAATAATATGGAATAGCACTGTATTCAAGCCTGCTGTGTACGTGGTAGAAGATTGCTAAAATTCCCCTTCAATCAGTTTTGCCATGCTTTTTGAAAACAATGATCTCACATGCTCCACAGCTGCTCTGTGCTTCCACTAAACTGTGTGAAGGGCAAGAGCATTACTCTCTGCATTCCTAAATGAGAACTATTTTTGTCAGTGGCCCCATGGAAAAAATATATATTTTCAAGTCAACAAAACAAATGACCAACAATAATACTTTTGCTACAGAGTGTGCAAGTAGCTATTGCAATATAACATAATACAATGTTGTTGTTATTGTTGTTGTTGTTATTACAAACCAATATTAATATTTTGCCATGTTTATTTCTCCATGTGACTGTTAACAGTTTTTCCTAATTTTTCTACATGTAGGAAATAAATCTATGACAGAACTGCTATTATAAGAAATGCTCCCTACCTCAAAACTTGAAATGGCCTTGTTGTGAGCTCCATGGGAGTTGTGTTCCAACATATGCCGGCCACATTGTGACCCACATTGTGACCCAGTGTGGTTAGTGGTTTCATTCCTGGAGCAAATGGCTTTGCCATTGAAATTCACTGGGTGATAATGGGAAGTCACATTCTTTGCGTCAGAGGAGGACAATAGCAAACTCCATCTGAACAAAGCATGCCAAGAAAAGCCTGGGATAGATTTGTCTTAGATTTGCATTTGTGATTGTCCCATCACAATTGCAAAGCACCTTTTAAAGGGAAAGCGGTGGGGGGAGTGGCACAGCAGGAGTGTGGAGTTACACTGCCTACCCAGAAGTGTGGCATTGCAATGCCAGTTATTATTCAATGTCTCCCCTCATAATGCCAGGAAGCATTTGTTATCCTACATTGCAGGAATGCCAGTTCATATCCGATAATGTTCATAATCAATAGTGGAAGTTGCTATTCAGTAATATTTGGAGGGCTGCAACTACCCACCCTCTGTTTTAGGCAATGCCCAAATGTCCTAAAAGCACCAGATCCTATCTGATCTTGGAATCTATGGAGGTTAGTATTTGGATGGGAGACTTCCAAGCAATACATGGTACTGTAGGCTATATTTCAGAGGAAGGAACAAGTAACACCACCATCAAGTACTTCTTGGAAGCTAAGCAGGTTTTGTGTGTGTGTGTGTCAGGAGGAATTTGAGAAACTGCAAGTTGCTTCTGGTGTGAGAGAGTTGACCGTCTGCAAGGATGCTGCTCAGAGGACACTTGGATGTTTTAACATCCTGTGGGAGGCTTCTCTCATGTCCCAGCATGAGAAGCTGGAGCTGACAGATGGGAGCT